ATTGCCTGAGCCCGCGGGTTCGAGCCTCGCGCCTCCCCACCCCCGGGAACTTGGCGAGACCTCATCTCTACAATAAACCAAAAATCAGCCGAGCATGGTAGCGCGCGCCTGTAGTTCCAGCTCCTTGGAAGGCTGAGGCGGAAGGATCGCCGGAGCCCAGCAGGTCAAGGCTGCGGTGACCGGAAGCGGCCACTGCACTCCAGTCTGGGCGACAGAGTGAGACTCCAAGTCAAAATAAGAAAATTAAGCCATAGACATGGAGGAAGCTGCAGTGTTTACATTCCTAAGGCTGCAAGAGAGCCTAAAAAGCAACTGCAGCTCAAATCATTAGTGTGAGCTTGGCTAGCACTAAATTGTGCCGTTTCCATATCTATTGCCTTAATTGTGGGATTCCTTCTCATGTTAAGAGGATTATACTTTTAATCCATATGCAAAATTAAGTAATCAAGGGTGAAACAATACCACCTGGCTCTGGAAAAGAGCTCTGATTCAATGACTTTGAAAGAGACATATGCAGTGGACGAAGGATGAGAGAAAAAGGGAATAGGCTTGGGTTCAAATCAAAGGGAACATACTGCAAATCCAAGGAGCAGCTGGCGTACCCACACGGATTCGCCTGTTCTGGTGGTCCTTCTCCAGGAGAGTAGCGCTCACTCTCCTGTTGACTTCTGTGACCTGATTAGAGTTCCTGCATCGTATGGTCACCAAGGAAGTCAAGTCCATCCAAAGGATTTAGAACAGGGAGCCAATGATGGATTGACTATTTTAACGCACTTGCTGCATTTTAACTAATAGTTTTCCTAAAAGTTACTTACCAATTACACGCAGTCATCAGAACAAAATATTATTTTAGTATTTGCCAGTTAGGTAGTCAAAATAGCATCCTCCTTATTTTAATCGTTGCTTTTTTAAGCTTCAAGCTTTTCTTCTGTCCATTAGTAATTTGTAATTTTACTTTTGTAAATTGTCTGTTTGTGTTCTTTGCCCATTTTCTACTGGGGTCTTGGAAGTTTCCATTTTTATTGAGTTTCATGAACTATTTATAAGTAAACCTTTAAAATACTTGTAAGTGTTGTTCCAATTTGTCTTTTCTTTTTTTTTTTTTTGAGTCTCACTCTGTCACTCAGGCTGGAATGCAGTGGCACATTCACAGCCACCTCAACCTTGACCTGCTGGACTCAGGCGAGCCTTCCTCCTTAGCCTTCCAAGTAGCTGGACGACAGGTGCATGCCACCTGGCTAATTTTTTTTTTAATTGTAGACACAAGGTCTCACCAAGTTGTCCAGGCTTACCTCAAACCCCTGGGCTCAGACAGTTCTCTCACCTCTGCCTCCCAAAGTGCCGGGATTATAGGCATGAGCCACTACGCCTGGCTGCCTTTGAATTTATTTAAAATATTTTTAAGTTGGAAAAATTTTTAATTGTGATATGAATGAATTCCAAATCCCTTTCTTTGTGATTTCTTCCAGCACATTTTTACTTAGAAAGACATTTCACATCCAGAGACAAAACAAATATTCACTTATTCTAAAATGTTGTGGTTTGATTTTTTGTGTTTAGCCCTTTGTTTTGATTAAGGGATAAAGTAAGAATCTCTTCCTTTTTTCCCCCAAAGAACCAGATATTTCTCCCAACACTGTTTGGCACCAGAGTGAATCACTGCGTCAGACTTCTTAGCTCAGAGCAATATACACATCTCGTATATATTCATTCATTCAACTCATATTTGTTGAAAATGTCTTTATATGCCAGGCACTGTACTTCATACTGAGAATACAACAGAAAGCCAAATGGACTAAATTCCTGCCCTTAGAGCTTACATTCTAGATGAGGAGACAGGCAAAAACAAAAAGTTCATGTGTATAGTCATGTCAGGTAGGGCTGGGATCTATCAAGAAAATGAAATAAGGAGATAGAAAATTGCTGAAATTTTCTATTTGGCTTCAGTTACCCTCCCTTCTAGCATGGATTTGCTTCTGTTACAGCTGATTCCTCCCCTACTTCCCTCCTTCCTCGTCCTCTTCTTTCTTTACTTCACCTCTTTCTTCTTCTTCTTTTGGTTAAATGTTGTTTGCAGGAACGCGGGGCTTAGGAAGTGTTTTTTTTAAAACAAGGATGGGGTTATGACCAGTTTCACTTCCATTGCCCGGTGTGTTCCACTGTGAACAGTTGTACTTGGATTTGTGATACAATAAGATAATGAGGCCACCCCCAGGGCAGCTATATTTAGCCAACATTCAGGGAGTGACCTACAAAAACTCTGTAATAGACTTGAAATCATACCTGAATTTAAAGCGGTACTCACGCTCACTCAAATGCCACACGCAGGTCAGAACAGAGGGAAGGTGGGCAGGGAAAGCATTTGGAAATCTCAGATCAGGGAGGCATCAAGTCAACACTGAGTGAAGACCCGCTCTGGCTTCCAAGCCTTGATTCAAGCTGGTCCCTCTGCCCAAAGTAAGCTTCCCCCTCCCCACTTGTCAAATGATCTTGTCCTTATGTGCGGGTTCAAATCTTCCATCCGATACTAATTCGTCCCTCCCCCATGGAACTTGGTCAGTGCTTCCATGGTAATCCTTTCAACAGCCTACCTTGTATGAGTTATATAGTGTATTTATTTTTCAGGTTGTGAACACTTAAAGATCCATGAGAAAATCTATTTTATTAATTTCCCATTAGGCCATGCAATAGACTTTGCACATCGTAACTGTTCAATAAAATATGCATTCAGTTGAAATGAAGCTGTTTCCTACACCCTGTCCCACAGCCGGTCTGAGTCTAGAAGCAACATGATTTTAACATGTCTTCATAAACCTGTGCTCGCTGGCCCCAGCTGGGCCCACAGCAACACTCTCTTGTGTGATAGTCCTCAGAACGGGTTGTTATTCTCGCTTTACACTCACTTAAACTCAAGAAGTCTAAATAACATTTCCCTTAAAACATCTGCTCCTCTGGACTTCTGTATTTCTGCTCCAGAGACCACTGTTCTTCCTAGTTCCCAGAAGCTCAAACCTTAGGGCCGACTTGGAAAGCAACACTTCTCCTAGCCCCCACCAATCGCTCCCTTCTCATGTTTTCCAGATAACACTGCCTGGGGTCTAGAGAGGTGCATGGGTTTCCCTAGCCCAAGCTGCTTTCATGTTACACATGACATCAGAATGAACTTCCATGGTGTATAAGAACAGAAATGTACTTTAATTTTATAGTTGGGAAGCCTGGTACGGTGGCTCACGTCTGTAATCCCAGCAGTTTGGGAGGCAGAGGCGAGAGGATTACCTGAGCCCACAGGTTCGAGAACAGCCCGGGCAACTTGGCGAGACCTAATCTTCACAATAAGTCAAAAAATTAGCTGGGCGTGGTGATGCATGCCTGTGGTTCTAGCTACTTGAACAGCTGAGGTGGACGGATCACCTGAGCCCAGCAGGGAGGCTGCGATGGCCATAGGTGTGCCACTGCACTCCAGCCTGGGTGACAGAATGAGACTCTTACTCAAAATAAATAAATAAATATACAGTTGGGAGAGAGAAGCCAAATCAATAACTATTTTAAGAGCCAAAGCAGCCCGATATGACTCTTACAGCAAAGAGGCTTTTACAGAACTTTCACCTTCCTTGAAATTAAATTACTCTCATTGCTTAAAAGGAGTTTAACCATTTTTTCCTATAACTATATTTGGACATTTGCAATGCTAATCCCCTTTCAATCCTTAACGCTCCCTGCTGAAATAGGAAACTAAAAACAAACAAACAAACAAAAAAACAGATCTTGGCCCAACACAGAGGCTCACACCTATAATCTCAGCACTTTGGGAGGCCGAGGCAGGGGGACTTCTTGAGCCTAGGAGTTTGAGACCAGCCGGGGCGACTCAGTGAGACCTCGTCTCTACAAGAAATTGGAAAGAATTCAAAAAATTTAAAACATGGTGGCGTGTGTCTGTAGTGCCAGCTGCTCAGGACGCTGAGGCGGGAGGATGGCTTGAGCCCAGGGGTTCGAGACCAGCCTAGACAACATAGCAAGGCTTCATCTCTACCAAAAAAATCAAAAAATTCGCTGGGCAGAGGGGCACGCACCCATAGTCCCAGCTACTCAGGAGGCTGAGGTGGACAGATCGCCCAAGCTCCAGAGACTGAGGCTGCAGTGACCTGTGATTATGCCACTGCACTCCAGCCTAGGCAACAGAGTGAGATGGGGGTTGCGGGGGGAAGGAAGGGAGAGGGAAGAAAAGAAAAGAAAAAAGAAAGTCAAACAGATCTTGCTCTCCCTTCCTCTCTGATGGAAATGTTGCTGCTCGGGATAATGACCATAGCAGAGGTAGCAACAGGCAAGAGAAGTAGAGTGGAGGTGAGGGTGGGATGCTGTGTTTTATAAACTGGATAACCCATCCTTCAATAGTCAGTTCTCGGCCAGGCACAGTGACACGCACCTGTAGTCTCAGTTACTTGGGAAGCTGAGCTCGAGCCCAGGAGTTCAAGACCAGCCTGGGCTATGTAGTGAGGCCCCTGTCTCCAAGAAAAAAAAAAATTCTCACCGGGCTCGGTGGCTCAGCCTGTAATCCCGCGCCTTTGGGAGGCTGAGGTGAGTGGATTGCCTGAGCCTGCGGGTTCGAGACCTGCCTGGGCAGTGAGACCTCATCTCTACAATAAATCAAAAAATCAGCCGGGCATGGTAGCGCATGCCTGTAATTCCGGCTACTTGGAAGGCTGAGGCGGAAGGATCGCTGGGACCCAGCGGGTCAAGGCTGCGGTGGCCTAGAGCGGCCACTGTGCTCCAGTCTGGGCGACAGAGTGAGACTCCAACTCAAAAAAAAAAAAAAAAAAAAAAATTCTCTCTAAAGTACATTAGAGTTGACACCCTCTGCCCTGCCTATCTTGCAGTCTTGTTAAGAGAACAAATGCAATGATGCGTGTGGAAGCAGTAGTGAGTGCTAAAGTTCTCTACATGTCAAGAACAGTCATCTTGGTTACACATGGGAGCATTTAAAACACGCTGTTGGTCTTTACCTGGTAAATCTGTGTGGAAGGATTATTCACCGGCATGTGTTCATTCTCTCCTGTAGGGAGAAAGAGCTTTGTTCAATCAACACAACTCATTCTGTTCTGTCCTGTTCTCCTCAGAGGCATGCAGGGAACAAGGGAAGGCATAGGGTCCTATGTCTGTGTCTGCATGACAGGAAACCAGTTTCTCAAAAGGAACAAAAGAGAAGTTGGTGTAAGTGGTTTTTGTATTCACACATTCTCATGACCAAACCATAACTACCTGACATACTTTTCTGGTAGAAAACCATGTTCTAGCTGGGCTCGTTGGCTCAGCCTGCAATCCCACGCCTTTGGGAGGCTGAGGTGAGTGGATTGCCTGAGTCCGCGGGTTCGAGACCCGCCTGGGCAGCGAGACCTCATCTCTACAATAAATCAAAAAATCAGCCGGGCGTGGTAGCGCATGCCTGTAATTCCTACTACTTGGAAGGCTGAGGCGGAAGGATCGCCGGAGCCCAGCAGGTCGAGGTTGCGGTGGCCAGGAGCGGCCACAGAACTCCAGTCTGGGTGACAGAGTGAGACTCCAACTCAAGAAAAAAGAAAACCATGTTCTACCACAGAGGGATGGTGGATCGGCCCAACCCAATGAGGAGTGCTTATGACATAACTTATGACATAACCAGAAGGGAATGTTCTTAAGGAGGACTGACATCTACCCAAGGGGACAGTTCAACAGTCGACAAGGCGGCTTTTCACCAGGCACCAAGCAAAGGAGGCCTGGGCCACATGTTCCTGACTTCTCCTACCTTTGACCTCAAACTTCTGAACGTGCCCTGCCGTCACTGCCAAGATCTGCTAAGGGACGCTTGCTGTCTTGGGCAAGAGGGCTGGCAGAAGGGAATTGTCAGTGCAAAAGCTCTGGGAAGGATGTAGACAGAAGAAAACGGTATTGTCAACACCAGGGACTGAGAAACACAGGGCAAGGGTATAAAAACCATTTGCAACCTAGGGAGAAAAGAGGGTTGGCTTCTAATGCACTTTTCAGAACCACATTGGATTCTGCTTGTTGCAGAATTTAGCGACTTTTCCAATTTGTCACATTATGTGAATCAAGCAGTTTACAGCTGAAACCCCTGGTTGCAAACATCTGGTAGTGTGGATGTGTAAACTGTTCCCCTGAGATGTTCTGGTGCAGGAAACCCCTCCTTAGAGGAGCCAGCCTCAGTATGTTTGGTTCATAAATAACATATCCCCTCAGCCCAGAATTTACATACACAGACAGCTGTCCCTGTAAAATCCTGATGGTTTGAGTTGACCAAAGTCCTGCACAAACTCAAGTAAAGATTATTTAGCACATTTTTTTTTTTTGAGTCTCACTCTGTCGCCCAGACTGGAGTGCAGTGGCCGCTCCCGGCCACCGCAGCCTCGACCTGCTGGGCTCCGGCGATCCTTCCACCTCAGCCTTCCAAGTAGCTGGAATTACAGGCATGCGCTACCACGCCCAGCTGATTTTTTTGATTTATTGTAGAGATGAGGTCTCGCTGCCCAGGCAGGTCTCGAACCCGCGGGCTCAGGCAATCCACTCACCTCAGCCTCCCAAAGGCACGGGATTACAGGCTGAGCCACCGAGCCCGGCTAGCGCATTTTATACAGTGTCCCGACAGCCTGGTATAATGGCAAGAACCAGGACTTGGAAACAAAGACCAGGATTCCAGACCTAACCATGACACTTCATAGCTGTCATCTGACTTCTCCATGACTGTTTCCTCCTCTGTAAACGGGAGATGGTAACAGAACGTGCTTCTATACGGTTGCTTCTAGATGGTAAAGATTGAAAGACAAAGCACTTACGCTTCTAGCCTGGGCTAGAAGGTGTTAGATGTCTATTAGTTGACTCTGTCTTATTGTTCTGAGGCAGTCCTAAAGTTACTGCTAAGAAAAATAAGTAAACAACTCACACCAAATAATATGTAATACATATTTATATATTTTATATAGTTAGAATATTATATATGTTATACATATACCTGGCATTTTCTATTTTCCAGTACCAATCTATATTCTTCATGCTCGTTACATGATGACAGGGAAATGAAAATACTTAAGCTAACACATTGTCACATTTTGAAACAGTGGTGAAACCTATGTTCCTTCAATCCTGAGTCCTAAAGCAAGTCATAGGGGAGATCTGACCTTGCTTTGTCTTGGTTTTTTCCATGGTGCCGGTTGCTTCTCTCCTCCAGCTTCTTCTTCAACATCACATCATCATTGTCCCAACTCAGGCCTCCTCCTCTCCCTTGCACCTGCCAATGGAAATCAAGAGTCAGGGGTAGCAGGTAGAACTGGCGAAGAAACTGGACTTAATGTGCAGACTTTAAAAAATTGAAAAGGACACAGCTTGGCATTTATGCAATTTCAGAAGAGTAAAAATAATAAATTGAGTAAATATTTAACTTGACAGTAAATATCATTTTGTAAGTCAGTTTGAAATTCATGACTCATATTTAGGGTAGTTTTTTTTTGGTTTTTTCTTTTGAGTTGGAGTCTCACTGGGTCGCCCAGACTGGAGCGCAGTGGCCGCTCCCAGCCACCACAGCCTCGACCTGCTGGGCT